GTCCGCCTCAATATGATTGTTTTAGTCAACCGAGGGTCAGTGGTCGTGGTGGTGGGCTAGTGAGCGTGTATAGGAAAAATTTAAAATGTCATCAAGTACGCTGTGATGAATTTAACTCCTTTGAAGTTCTCACTGTTAAAGTTGGAGGGCTGCAACCTATCATATTTGTTATAATTTATTGCCCCTCAAAACCACCTGGAGGATTTTTATCAGAACTTCCTGAATTTTTATCTACTCTGGTTTTAAATTATGACAGAATTGTTCTTTGTGGCGATTTTAATATTCATGTTGATGAGCCCACCAATGTTAATGCAACTGACTTTTTAAATATGGCCACTTCTCGCCTGTTACTCATGCTGCCTCACCAAGCTCCGTGTGTTCTCACATCTCACAAGTGTTTCAGAGTTTTGCGCATTCTTTCAGAGCCAAAGCCAACACCTGCCTGATTCCAACACCAACAATCTGGTCGATCACTTCAATCATATCTGCTTGTCGTCACTAAATATTACCCTGGATAAATGACAGCATTCACAGCCTAAAAAGGGAATGCAGGAAAGCAGAGCCAAGTCCATTACCTCAGTCTGAAGGATTTATTAATTAACTACAATAACATGGTTAAGGATGCGAGAACACACAATTTTTCTGAGCTCATTACTACACATAAACACAATTCCAGGTTTCTGTTTAAGACTATGGATCAGCTGGTAAACCCAACCCCTCCTTGTGCCTCAGCTGGAAGTAATGATGACGTGAATTGTTTTTATCTTATTTTACCAATAAGGTGGTGTCAATCAGAGCCTCTATTACCCCCACTGCCTCTTAATCAGAGGTCCCTCACCAGCAACAAGAGAGTTTTAACCAGTTTTATCCCATCGACTTGTCTGAGCTTTTAAAAACAGTATCACAAATGAGAGTGTCCTCCAGCCCACTTGATGTAATACCTGCAGTTTTTACTGAAAGTAATGGATTCTGTTGGGCCCCATTTGATCTCTGTTTTTAACAGCTCCCTATCTACTGGTTATGTCCCTGATTATTTTAAAACGGCTTGCGTGAACCCACTTTTAAAGAAACCTGGTTTAGATCCCTCCCTCCCACAAAATTTTAGACCAATTTTAAAACTGCCTTTTATTGCAAAGATTCTAGAAAGAATTGTGTCCAAACAGCTGCTCACTGTACTGGAAAATAACAAATTATTTGAAAAGTTTCAGTCTGGTTTCAGGAAGTAGCACAGCACTGAGTCTGCCCTGCTTAAAGTCACCAATGACCTTTTAATGTCTGCTGATGAAGGTATGTGCTCAGTCCTGGTACTCCTGGACCTTAGCGCTGCTTTTGACATCATTGATCACAACATCAAGTTAGACATACTGAGGCACTGGGTGGGGATCTCTGGTACTGCCCTAGAATGGTTTTCATCCTACCTGTTTTGTAAGTTTTGCGTGTCTGTAAACAACTATGTCTCTTCGTTCTGTCCAGTTAAATATGGTGTGCCTCAGGGGTCGGTCTTAGGACCCATTTTGTTTTCCTTGTATCTGCTTCCCCTTGGACATATTATCCATAAACATGGTATTTCTTTTCATATTTATGCTGATGACACACAAATGTACTTGCCTGTCGGATCCACAGACCCTGGAATGCTGAGTTGACTTAACAACTGCCTTTGTGAAGTTAAAAAATGGATGTCAAATAATTTCCTCCAGCTGAACTCAGACAAAACAGAAATCCTGGTCATTGGGTCCCAACAGATGGCAAATCAAATACTGCCATCTGCTGGTTCCCTTGTAAATCATATACATACACCTATTTCTATTGCAACCGTACTACTGGTCTGGATAGGGGAGGGGGGTTGCAATTCATAACTCTCACCACTAGATATCACTAAAACTTACACACTGAACCTTTAATTTGAGCAAATGGTGTTCAGGTGGCAGTGTTAGTGGACAGCAGTGTTGTCTTTAAAGCGATGTGTGATCCCAAATGTGTATTCAGTGTTTACAGTTTACAGTCAGTGTGGCCAAAAACGTTTGGGCTACATACAGAGGTCCACAAAGATGTTCGTGCAGACCCTCTCAGAGAATTATTAAATTTAACTCACATGGACTTGCGCAGCAAATGTATTTTAGCCACCTTATAGAATGACAATCTGAAAATATCTCCAGTGCAGCAGTTTCACTTAAATCTGTAGGAATACATAAGTTCTATGTTTCAGAAAACATAGGTACAAAGGAAATAGTCTGACAGCAAGTTGAAGCACAGAAAATATCCTAAATAGTGTGCACATGAACTGATAATGTTTTCACTGGGCGTTCTTGTAGGTGGCTAAAACACTTAAGCTTCTGACTCTGTCCCCAGCAGTTCATTCCTTTGCTTCCGTGCCGGTACAACACTTTTCTTCCCCAAACTGGGAACACACTGACCGCCCTCTACTACAGATAATACACTGACTGTGTATAAGTACCTCATACACTCCCACTTAAAATAAACGAACTATCCCATTAATGAGAACTAATTAGGGTTTAAGTGCAATTACTTCTGCGTCAAATCAACGGCGTAGTCTCTGCGTAGCCCCATACCCTACACCGTCACCTACACTGTAGCCTGACGTGCACCTCCTCAAAAATGTAACTATACGTCGAGGCGACCCAGACCGTAAGAACTGTGATTGGTCGGCTAGGTCGACTCGCAATGCCTCCGAACCGACAGGACGTTCCCCGTGCTTTGAAGTAAATTTTACTAGCGGCCAAACCAGCGACTGTAACACGGTGGATCAGTATATTTGACCATCACAGTCTGAGCGAAATGACTCGTTTCACTATCAGAATGTGATCCATTTGGTCGATAACTTTTGAAAAACAGCCGCATATATACAATTTTACCCCCATTCACGTTAGCCGAGGGCTAAACCAGAAGTTAGCCTGCTCGGTTGGCAAAAGTCAACACAGTGGACGCTGTAGTGCTACCGACAACAAGCATTTGGCGGTATAATTGCAGAACAACGGAGACACCGATGCACAAGTATAAACCTGGCTACGTGCATAGCCTACAGCGTAGCTACGCACGTAGCCCTGACGCAGGAGTATAAATCAAGCTTTAATTGTTTAGTTGCTGGTTAACTGAATAGTGAATATTGTTACATGAAGTGTTTTAATTGGTCTGTGTGTGCTGGATCAAGAGGTGTGTTCAGGGTCGTGACATGGTTAACTGGCTCTGTCCTATGGTTCAGTTGAGTGTACGTGGGTGTGTTTTAGTGATCATATAAGGACTCATCATTTGTAAACCGATTCTAATATTTTAATGGGCTTTATCAGCAGTAACGCAGCGGAGCAGCCTTTCTATTGCACACACACACACACACACACACACACACACACACATTACTACTGTATTACACACTGATGAGAAGGAGGCCTTTGGGAATAAGAGGTTAGTTTAACGTTAGGTTTTACTGCTCCTCATAACGCTAATCACTCTGATTATTATGCTGCTAGGCCGGAGTGTGTGTCTGTGTGCTCAGCTGTAAAAGGCATAGCAGTGCACGCATGCACGCACACACACACACACACACACACACACACACACACACTTGCGTTATGAAAATGACCCCTGTGTGTATAGGAGTATTGTGTTCTGCATTGTAGCCCAGCCAATAGCTAACAACCTCACCAGGAAATTAAAAACCATAAATCTGAGCTGATAGCTCAACACACACACACACACACTCGTTGCCATCCCTTTCTCCCCCAAGCTAACGAGATCGCACAACCCTGAGAGGGAGAGTAAAGGAATGAGGGAGGAACTACGTATTCACCAATTCTATCTATGTTCTACAGCTAACTGACAGTTGATTGGTTGTATTCAGTTCTGCGAGTGCACTTTATTTACCTCACTCATGAATTGTTTTTATAGAATTTTAGCACATAGGATGTTGATAGTCAATATTTTTCTATTGTCAACAAACCTCCTGTGCAGACCCAGCTCAGTCTCACAATAACATCGTGAGCTTCCAACTCTTATGCACTTGTGTGAAATTCACACAATTGACACTTGATGCCCTCACGCCACACATCAGTTTTCTCACCAAGTGAAAAACAAATGTATAACTGATATGGTCGACTAATCTCCACCCAGCTGATTCAGCATTGGTGTACGCCGTGATAGTAATCAAATGAACCCTTTCGTGCTGTAAGTTGCAGCGAGATTGTGACAGAGGGATAACGTAAATGGTAGAGTTTCGCAATGTAAACATGTAAAAAGTGAGGCATACTTTTGTTTTTCTACCGCTTGGGGGCTCCTGAAGAAAAATGAGTTCTTGGCTCTAGCTTTGGGTCTTTGTTGCATAGTTTGGACTTTCACAAGATTATACTGTACCTGTACATATTTCTGTTCTGGATTATGACAGATTACTTTGACTGTCCTCTTAATCAGGCAAAAATTGTGAAAAGGTACATTAAGCTCAACAAATAGGTAAACACAGAGGGTTTGTTGTATAATTCCTCCAACGTTACAGCCTCTGAACATGCACCGTAACTTAAGAAGAAGGGCTGACTGGCTCAAAGCTACTTTTTTTTATACTGGTGGACCTCCATGTCTTATTCTGGGTAGTGATGGAGCAGTGGATAAGACACATGCCTTTGGTGTGTGAGATCTGGGTTCAGTTCCCACTGCGACACATCCAATGTGTTCCTGAGTAATGAGTAGCTCTAATTATTTTAATTATTCTGTGTTGGCCTAATATTCAGTATATTTGGGGTTCAGTATTTTGTCCAAGGAGACTTACACTGCAACCCGCTCTACTACCTGAGCCACAGCTGCCCCATGAGTGCATAGGGTAGTTCTGTCAAAACACATACCAGAGTCTGAACTGTCATTACACACAACACAAAATACATTACAGATATGCACAGAAATATCTATAATAGAAATCAATTTACCATTTTGGCATTTTTGTAATGGAATTTGGAAAATTCTGATATTATTGAAGTTAAACCTTATACTCTTCTCAGATGAAGGCTTCTTCAGGAGGAGAGGAGGAGGAGGATGATGATGACGATGATGACTTCGATGAGGTTCCAGAGAAAGAGGGATATGAGCTGCACATTCCAGAGCATCTGCGAGCCGAGTATGGTGAGTCCAACTCTACACACACACACAAACACGCACAGTTTAAGCCACAGACACATGCATAAATAGAGAGGTTAAGCTTCAAAAGAAGACCTGCTTCTACCCTAATCTTTTAAGATTCACACACACACACACACACTTCAAAGAACCAGCTAGTAATGTGCAGGTAAAGTGCTTCTTAAATGGGTTTATTTATACAACCATGGTTAAAGATATGTGTGTAAATGTAAGTGTGTGTGTGTGTGTGTGCGTGCGTGCGTGCGTGCGTGCATGCATGTGTCCAGAGAAAGAATGCTCCAGAAGCCAAAGGGAAAGCCACTGGTCCCAGCCCCAATCAGACAAACATGTGGTCTGATATTTTGCCTTTTCCCACATGGGTTCTGGTCATCTCTTGCTTAGTGATACATGGATCAGAGAATGAATCTACTGCACAGTACACTTGTTTATGCCAACCTCTTCACATGAACTACAGTAAGTCTAATGAGATATACGCCACAATATGGCTGTTTCTATTTTTATGTTTTGTCCTAATGTTTCATTCTAAGACTAAGAACAAGGCCACATGTGCTGACCCCGAAGTGCCAACTAAGCTAACTAAACTGAATATAAAGGAACTATAGAGAATGACAATATCAACAAGCAGTGCTGTATTTTGAGTGCTTTTTTGTCATCTGTCAACTCCCGAACTTCATCAATAGTTACAGTGTGTAAGCACGACATTGCAGAGTTAGCATTGTGCATAATCTCACAACCGAGTTCTCAGTAGGGCTGTCACTTTTTATTCCAAATTCAAACTACAGTTTAAACGTGAGAAAAAATGTGATCTTTAATGATGTGTTCTTTTACGTGTCAATACTTATTCATCTGAACTAGATTTTGTTGAAAAAGTGACAGGCCTATTGTTTTTTTGGCTGACATCAGTGGATAGTAAAACTGAAGATTGACAGCATTCTCAAAACAACAGACTTGTTTTTTTGCCACATTGGGGGAAGTGGAACAAGCTGCAAAATTGACATATATACTATGATATGTGTTTATATATATATATACTTATGTATGCTTATGTACACATCTAGCAGATAGGTGTGTGGCAAAAAATTGATAGAGCAATATATCATATAATCATAAACTTTTTTCTATGGTGCTATATCAGTATTCCAGCCCATCATATCGATACATAAAATAAAATAAAAAAATAGCAATTTGATGTTTAGCTAACATATTATGGGAATCTCAATTAATGTGCTAGCATGGCGATCGTGAAAATGTAATCTTAACATTAATTACGCATTTTGCTTCACATGCTTAACATCCTGAGTGGGGCTGGGCGAGACGGCCAAAACTTTTGTCATGATAAAAAATGTCATACCATTCGATATCAATAATCAAGATAAAATCAAGTCAAATCATTATTTCTTTAAATTTTAAAGGCTGATTTTTGCTTTTTTGGTGGTTAATTGTGGTTTTTAACTGTTCTTTATGGTCAGAACATGACAAACACCTGCCAAACAGTGGATCACTTAACAAATTGAGGAAGAACATTCAAAACAATTAAGATAAAATCATTTTTTGAAAATATGCTTGAGTAAAATTAAGTAATATTTTTTCTTAATAAAAAAATAAAGTGCTATGTGTGATTCAAATGAATTAAATCAAACATTTATTGATGATATATTGAACATTTGTTATATTGTTATGGAGAAAAATTAAATTTCAATAATAATCATTAATGATTTATTGCCCAGCCCTAATCCTGAGTGAAATACTCTGCAAATACTTAAAGCACATATGTTTCCGGAGCTCTGTGTGAAATAAAAAAGAGCTGCTAACTTCACTGTCTTGATCTGTTACTCTGCTGCTTCAGCACTCCACACTGACTAACTACAGCAACCCCAAAGTGTCAAAACTCCCACCCAGAATTCCCAATTTCCTAAAAATACAGCTATCACTAGGCATGGAAATAGCAGCACAATGCTGTCACTGAACAGTTATCAATATAATGTGATGTACATATTAGACTTAGGTGGTACACAGCAATTTGTATTTTCAGTAAAAACATTGGTAAATTCAGTTAATTTGCATTTTTATGTGCCTTTTATAAAGAAATGTTTTTATAATAATTTTTCATAGCTGCCCTGTAGTTCTGTAGTTTTAATTTACTTACTTAATTTAATTTACTGAAAAATGTGTGCTGCAGAGTTGTGTTGCTTTTGAAATTTGGATTTGCCACAAATAAATAGAGAAAACTTTTTAATAGGCCATTTTGTATTCACATATAGACAAATATTGTGATGTATCATTTTAGGATTGTCTAGCGATATATAGATTATTGCAGAATTGCTGTATCGTGATATTATTGTTATCGTGAGCTATGTAGCGTGTATTGTATCATATCGTGAGGTACCCTGCGAGTCCCACCCCTACTAGCAGATAGAGAGCAGCATTAGCATTCGTTTGAGTCGCCTAAGGTATGTAGAAATCAATATTCACTCTTCATTTGCAGCTGTGTTTTACTCTCCACTAACTGCTGAGAAAAATATCTTTCTCAAAACAACAAGCTGAAAGATGCTAAAGTCAAGGTTCCCACGTGTCCTGGAAAACCTGGAAAACAGTTTAATTTTCCAGTCATGGAAAACACCTGGAAAATGAGAGAAGAAGTCAGATGTCCTGGAAAATCTTGTGTTGTCCTGTAAAATTATTTTACAAGCATGGAAACTCCTCACCTTATGCAGAGAGGAACATATGAGTGTATGACGTGATCCCTGTCTGCCTTACCAGCTGGATCATCACTGAAAGTGTCCTGGAATAGTCCTGGAAAATGATCTCTAGAAAAGGTTGAGAGACCTGAAAATGCTCTGTAGAGCTGAGGGGAACTGCAGAGTTGATGATAATCCTGTTTGTCACTACGAATGAACCATTTGACATTCCACATGTGGGAGATCTTTAATATAAACATTTTGAGTGATTAGTGAAGTTTTAAAAACCTGAAGACAAAATCTAGCACTGTCTTACAATTGGTGTGTTTATCCACTCGTGTTGATGTTCCAGTGAAGGCAAGCCATTGATAGTCACCTGTCATTTTGTGTATACGCAGGAATGACACTGCCATAAATGCCTATTGAGCCTTATCAGCTCACAATGAGTGAGTTAGTGGTCTTGGCTAGTCTCATGCAGGGTTCTCACTGTGATTTGGAATGCAGCACAGCCTTGTAATGGAGACAGATAGTTTCTTTTCCACAAGCATTTCCCTGTGTATATTTGATTGATTTTGTCCTCTCAACACATCCATTTACCTTCACACACTGTCGTCACTAGCTGCATATGAATTCCCGTTATAATATTGTTCCTTGCAGTGTTGTTGCATTGGACTTTTATGGATCATGTCTAGCCTCCAGGCAGCACGCTAGGCTAAAGGTCACATGTTCAGGTCATTAACCCAGCTGCATCTTACTGCTATGTCAGCTACATAACAACATGTGTTTTCTAAATATTAGATGGAATTTGAATGCTGTTAATATCATTATCAGCAGCCATGCACAAGCTCCAGGCAACAGTAAACACTAAAGCTGTCATAGTGTTGCTCTGTCAGCCAGCTTCTCCCCATCACTCCTATAGATTCCTATGTGATCCTCACTGTGTGTGCTTGTATTTCTGTGTCTGTGTTTGGCGTCATAACACAACATGTTGTAGATAGTGCTGCTTTTGCTGGGTCAGCCGTGTTGTTTTGGCTGTGAGGTGACCTTTGACCGCTGGCTAGTTCTCTCCACCAGCCTCCTGGGTCATTACATTCACACTGAGCCTCCTCTTTACCTGTGAGCCGGTCCCTCTCTACTCCCACCTCCCTCCATTACTGATCAATTAGACACTAAAGTAATTAGATTGTATCTGATGTGCCCAAAACAGCTGTGTGTGTCCGTGTGTGTGTGTGTGTGTCAGGGTGATTAGTGGGCTAGGTAATGATCTACAAGGGCCATACCAAATTAACAATGCAACCTCTTTAATGAGCCCCTATTAGCCCTGCACCCAGATTTTACCACCCACACACACATATGCACACACGCGCACGCACACAGACACACACACACACACACCATATCTTGCTTGAAATATAAAGAGTCTTAATCCTGATAAAGAGCTGACTTGACAAAGTGATGTTTTTTGTTGGCATCTGTGAATCTGGCAACATTTTGACTTGCTCTGAAGTGAAGTGCACCACAGGGTAGTATCAAGCCAAACAGGTGGCACTGCTCAGTATTTTAGTTACAAAACGCTTGTGTTCTGTTTGACCAGCCACATCTTAGCGTAAAGACAGATGGGCTGTTTCTGTGGCTTCAGCTGGTACAGACATATCCTCACTCACGACCTAAGCAAAAGCACCTTTCATATGTATCCTTTGTTTGCTTATTTTAATTTGATATAGATTATTCAGGCTGTATATTTACACTTTCGAATGTATGAATCAGGTGCAAAGGATGTACAGAAAAATCAAATGTCACTTGAAGTTATTAGGTGGTGAAAGTGTGTGGATCTCCCTGAAAGCGCTCTAGATCACATTCAGCGGCTTTATCATGCTTTTCATCATGTTATCATGTTTCCTTTGAACTAGCTGTATGTTATTTTGGGGTCTATCACATTTATCATTTTATTTCTTCTCATTTCTTTCAGTGTTCATTCAGAAAAAGTCTGGCTTTGCTCTGATCTCTCCTCCTTCTGTTTCCTCTCTTTCTCTATCTATATCTCTCTTTCCCTCTGTCCTGTTCTGTCATTCTGATTATCAGTCCTCTTATCCCTCTCTCTGCTGTCAGGACACTATCTCTCTCTTTCTCAAATTAACATTTTAATTACAGGCCCTGCTTAACCCGAGAAAATCAATACCTCTTTCCGCCTTCCTCTCTCGCTTTTCTCTCTCCCTCTCTTTCCCTCAAACCCCCTTTTCTCTCCTTTTCTGTAACAACCCCCTCACACACACACACACACAACTATACACATTTCCTGCCATTGATCTGTGCATCTTAACATCCACAACATCCAGACAAACCTCTGCAATTCTGTGGTTAGGAAAGAGCAGAATTAGTCTGTATTCCACCATCCTGTGGAGAGAGAGAAGAAGGGATCATAGAGGGAGGAGCAGTTGAGGTATAACAGTCCAACACTAAAAAAACCCAGCAACTTTACTTTGAGAATTAAACTGTGCTGAAAAGATTGACTGTGTCATGTGTGACAACCACTTTACCATCCTAAGTCTTTTACATAGACTATCAAGACATGATGTAAGGCATTCAAACAGCACAGACAGGGCCAAAACCAGAGTTCACCAGCCTAGGGCTGCAACTAATAATTCTTTTCATTACGCATTCATCTGCAGATTATTATCTTGATAATCTGTTAATCCTTCTGTCCGCCCAGTCCAAAAATATTCACCTTACTATGATGTACAAAGAAAAGCAGCACGCCCTCACATTGGAGAGCCTGGAACAATCCGAAGTTTGTTTTTTTTGCTTGAAATTACATTGATACATTAATCAATTATTAAAATAGATACATTTTCTCTTGATCAACTAATCGATTATTCAGCTAATCTGCTCTACACTAGTGCACACAGTGCATACACACTCCATGCCAAGAGGATTCTCTCCTGATCCCTGTTTCTTCTACATTTTATACTTCCACCACTTTCATTAGTAGAGTTCAGACAGAATTTTTTTTTCTATTTAAATAATTAAAGCAGTATATAAAATATGCAAAAGGCTGTCCTCCAGGTGAAACAGAAGAGTTGAACTGTACAGGGCTAATCATTTGCGTAGTGTACCGTGGCAGTGATTGAATCTCTGAAGCCATCCGGGTCAGTCCTAATAATGTGTGGGATCAGCATGTTGGCAGCTCGCAGCTTACTGCTTCCCTCTGATCTCACCTGCTGTGTGTGTGTGTGTGTGTGTGTGTGTGTGTGTGTGTGTGTGTGTGTGTGTGTGTGTGTGTGTGTGTGTGTGTGTGTGTGTGTGTCCGGCTCAGTCCCCAGAGACCCTAGCAGACCCAGTGTTTGACCACACACACACAGAAGCAGCAGAACTTCTCCTGGATTTTTGAGTGCACATTGCTGCAGATCTCTCTTCATTCCTGTTAGCACTTACATGTTTTACACTCTGTTAACGGCTTAATAGGTCAATCTGATATTATGACAAACGTCCAGAAATATAATATATAGAAATTGTGTGTGTTATTTATAAGAATTGAAACTACAGGCCAACACGCTGTGTTAAACTAAAGCGTTACTGACTAAAGTATGATCCTGATGTCCTCTGGTCTCTGTCGGCAGGTTTGGATCCATTTCCTTCCACCTCAACACCACCAGTCACAAAAAAAAACCCTGCTAAAAGACCCACAGTTCTGCCCCTTCCATCCTCTTCCTCCTCCAGGCGGTTAAAGCAACTTACAGAGGAGGAGCAGGATCCAACATGTGCAGCCGCCACACTGCACCACCTCAGACAGAACCTCCCTCTGCCTGCAGAATCCAGGTATTGACAAGCCCTATCACATTCCCTCTCTGTTAGCCTGAGGTACACCAGTACTCGCCGTCTCCCATCAGTCCTCTACCTTTTCATTTCCTGTTCACTTCACCTCCTCTCACTATACCTCAAACACAAGAAATGTACATTTCAGTTTATTATTTATACAGTTTATTATTACCGTGTTTTTTAATATTCAGACCTTTGCAGGTGAACTGAAAGGAACAGGGTGGACAATAAAGACCACAAATCATGATAGGATTATTTTGATGCATATTGCAAATGTAGCCTCACTTAGAAATGAAGCCCACGCTTGTTTTCTCTGTTGCTTGCATCAGCTATCCAACGAAGGTTAAAATCAAGGGCAACTGGACTTGGTTGAAGATACTGGAAGACGTTTTGTCCCTCATCCAAAGGACTTCTTCAGTTCTGTACTGAAGAAGTCAGTGAAGAAGTCAGTGAAGTCAGTGAACTGAAGAAGTCCTTTGGATGAAGGACGAAACGTCTTCCAGTATCTTCAACCAAGTCCAGTTGCCCTTGATTTTAACCTTCGTTGGATAACTATGACCTGGATGACTGAGAGTCTTCATAGACATCTTGCATCAGCTACTATTCTGCTTCTTATGTGGGGACACCGGGTGGGGATGTAGCTCTGTGCGCGCTCCTGAGCCTCTCTCTGACTACAGCGATAACACCGCAGCTAATGACATGCAGTCCACTAACACCATAAAACAACCGGCTCCCAGCAAAACACAGACTCCAACATAAACTCCACGTAAGAATACAAAACAACAACAAAGTTTTATGTGCTGAAGCTCATCAGGCCAAAAGACATTCAGATGATGTCGCTGAAAACAGTGAACATCAGAAAGGCTGGAGAAACACAGAGAGTCACGTTAACTTGCGGGCTAACGCCAAGCAGTTGCTATTGTTATCCAGTGCAAAGTTGTATCGCTTTACCAACTAACGCAACCCACATTACTATCCTGTGTACCACCGGTATCATGTCAAAGTGTTGACTTAGCCTGTAAGAAAGGGTGTAACAGTAAAAAGCAAATGTGGAGCGATTTGTTTAGGCAGGGCAGCCAGTTAACGCTACATTTACTCGGACCTGCCGCTGTTTCGTAACGTTCAATTTAGATTTCTTTTGGTTTTACCGATAATTAGTTTCACAGCTTCTCCACCTCTCCTTCGCTGTAACTAATGTGACCCACATAATACAACAATACTGCAACAAAACAGTTTCAATTTAATTCATTTCAATTTTATTTATATAGCACCAAATCACACCAACAGTTATCTCTGAGCGCTTTTCATAAAAGAGCAGGTCTAGACCATACTCTGTGAAGATATTTACAGAAACCCAACAGTTCCCACCAAGAGCAGCACTAGGCGACAGAGGCAAGGAAAAACTTCCTTTTAAGAGGCAGAAACCTCGAGCAGAACCATGGCTCAGGGTGGGCGGCCATCTGCCTCGACTGGTTGGGGTGAAGGAGAGAGAGAGGGGGGGAGGGGGAGGCAGCCTACACAATATACACACAGAGGTACAGACAGTAAAGGTGATGTTGCTATAGACTGAATGAAAAATGGCATAGATATTTATAATAGTGTTAATGATGATAATCGTAATGTTAATGATTATAATAACAATAATAACAATAGGACTAGTAACAATAATTGTAGCAGAGGGTGTCGAGCAGGAACACGGGGGCAGCAGGTGACTCGCAACCACAGATCCAGACTCCACAGCTCCAGAGCCAGAAAACCTGCAGGAAGTGATAGGAGGAGAGAGGAGAGGGACGAGAAAGCACAAGACTACGTGAACAGGAAGAAGTCGAGTTAGTAAAATGCATTAATGGGATGAGGTTGCATACAGAGGGAGAGAAAGAGGAGGAGAGAGGGGCTCAGTGCATCATGGGAAATCCCCCGGCAGTCTAGGCCTATAGCAGCATAACTAAGGGATGGTTCAGGACTCACCTGAGCCAGCCCTAACTATAAGCTTTATCAAAGAGGAAAGTCTTAAGCCTACTCTTAAATGTGGAGATGGTGTCTGCCTCCTGAACCCAAACTGGAACCTGGTTCCACAGGAGAGGAGCTTGATAGCTGAATGCTCTGGCTCCTAGTCTACTTTTGGAGACTCTAGGAACCACAAGTAACCCTGCATTCTGGGAGCGCAGTGCTCTGGTGGGGTAGTAAGGTACTATGAGCTCTTTAAGATAAGATGGTGCCTGACCATTAAGAGCTTTGTAGGTGAGAAGAAGGATTTTAAATTCTATTCTGGATTTTACTGGAAGGCAATGCAGAGAAGCTAAAACAGGAGAAGTATGATCTCTTTTCCTGGTTCCTGTCAGAACACGTGCTGCAGCATTCTGGATCAGCTGAAGCTCTTAATGGACTTTTTCGAGCAGCCTGATAATAAGGAATTGCAGTAATCCAACCTAGAAGCAACAAATGCATGGACTAGTTTTTCTGCATCACTTTTAGACCGGATGTTCCTAATGAGGGCGATGCCATCAAGGGAAACTATATCTTTAGATAATGCGTCACGGAGGTGTTGGGCCCCAGAACAACAACTTCAGTTTTATCTGAGTTTAACATTAGAAAATTACAGGTCATCAAGGTTTTAATATCCTGAAGGCACATTTGAAATTTAGCTAACTGATGAGTTTCATCTGGCTTGATCGATAGATATAACTGAGTATCATCTGCATAACAATGAAAGTTTATGGAATATTTCCTTGATAGTTGGCTAAAACATCTGGATCAAGGCTTTTCAGAAGAGGTTTAATTAAAGCTACTGTAAGTTCTGTGGTACATAGCCTGTTGATAAAGATAGATTCATCATATCTAGTAAAGAAGTGCCGACTAAGGGTAAAACTTCTTTAAGCAGCCTAGTCGGGATGGGGTGTAAGAGGCAAGTTGATGGTTTAGATGAAGAAATTATTGAAGTTAGTTGGTAAAGATTGAGGGAAGCAAAACAGTCTAAACATATATCTGGTTCTACAGCTGTTTCTAAGGTTCTTGAGTTTAGAGATAAGCCAGTTGAGGGCAGGTCTTGGTGAATTTTTTTCTCTAATAGTTAGAATTTTATCATTAAAGAAGCTCATGAAGTCGTAACTACTGAGAGCTATAGGAATACCTGGCTCAATAGAGCTGTGACTCTCTGTCAGCCTGGCTACAGTGCTGAAAAGAAACCTGGGGTTGTTCCTATTTTCCTCTATTAATGACGAGTATTACGCTGCTCTGGCATTACGGAGGGCCTTCCTATAAGTTTTAAGACTATCTTGCCAAATTAAACGAGAATTTTCCACTTTGGTGGAACGCCAATTCCTCTCAAGTTTCTGCGATTTTTTTTTTATTTTGTGAGTTTCAGTATTATACCATGGAGCTAACCGTCTTTGTTTTGAGGTGGGTTCATTTAGGCTAACATATTTTCCATCACCCAGCCAGGTTTCAGTAAGACAAAATAAATCAATATCATAATCTGATGTTAGTTCATTTACTAGTACACCTTTAGAAGAGGGAGATCTGATGTTTAAGAGTCAACATTTAATTCTCCTATTCTTTTGCACTATTGCACTTGTGGTTTTAATTTTTACGAGGTTTTTATACACAGCTCCTCTTCTGTTTACCTTTGATTTAAATAATTTCACTGGTCGGGGGGCAGACACCGTCACTATAGGATTTTCACTATCAATAATCAGACCAGGTCTTCCCCAGATGTCTGCCAATGATCTACAAAGCCCACATCGTTTGCTGGACACCACCTCGACAACAGTGACAACAACACAGAGGAAGAGCCACGAGCACACACCTGGTTGCAATCTTGAAACTGCACCACTAGTGGCCGCTGAAAACTACATATATTATTATATGTACTCCAACCCAGTACCACCTCTGTTCCTGACCTTGTAATATTTTAATAAATCACCTCAATGCAGATGTGCAAGGCTGTGGAAGACAAGCTGTAATAAAATGTAATGTTATCCCAGTTCTTTGAAAATTGGATTTCCAGTTTGGGCCCAGCGAGTCAAACATATGATGTGAAGCATCATGTGGGTAAAACTGTATGGCTTTAATAGATAGATTTATTGTGAAGTTAAACAGATGAAGTTAACAGGTAGCCTAATTCTAAGAGGCTGCTCTTTGAAATTGGAGGTTTCTATTAATTATGTTGCGAGGTGCTTCATTTAATACATTGATAGAGATAAGCCGTGTTGCTCCATGATGTTGCCAAAAGTACACTGGCCTCTGAGAGCAGGCACTGACATGGGCCTCAAGGGCCCTAAAACCGGACTAATGACAACAGTCTCTGTACCTTCGAAACTAGAGATTGATGTTTGACTCCTGCCCAAACAGGACACTGCTACTGTCAGATGAAAACCTCATAAAGTATCTCTATCTCTTAAAAATGACAGGGATTAACTTCTACATTTAGTTCAAGCTATTAAAAACTGTCTTTATGTAGATCCCTCTCTGTTACTACTAAAAGGGACAAACACACAAACAAGTGCAGTCCAGGTCCTCTGACCATCCTCTTTCTTTCAGGTTTGTATATTAAATAGTTTCTGGACAATGTGAGAGTTGACCCGAAACCCTAAGTTGAATTTGTCTGTGCATGAGACTAGTTTACCTCTCCTTCCAAATGTCTTTCCTGCAGCAGCAGCTCCTCAGGTCTTAATTCAGACCAGAAGGCTGTTGGGGCTCCTGTGGTTCCGTTTGGTTTGGATCTGTACTACTGGGGCCAGGAGCAGCCTAACGCTGGCAAGATCTTCAAGTAACTCACCAGACACACACGCACACACAATTCATCACTGATGGACATTTCAGTCATGTGGAAGAAATGTAATCTCTGCAATCACAGTCCCAGAAACAGCCACTACATTTGCAATTTGAGCTTTCATAGAATATGATAATAAACCCAGCATCTGGAAATAAAAATTTTCTCACCTTCTTTCAGTCAGTACTTTTAAACATGTTGCTGTCCAGTGGGTGTTTCATCAGAAATATGTTGTTTTCGATGTTTTCTTATCTTTCATGAATTCCCTTTTACATTCAGTTCCAGACAGCAATGAAACTGTCTCAAAGAGATCCTTCCCTCATGTCATGAGCGTCGTAAAGAGTGCCCACCAGAGGGTGCGCTTCAGCTCCTCTGTTAACTTTGCAGCACCAAACAATAAAACATCAGCTGACCGCAGTCTACCAGAGCCACAGAGAGTAGCTCCTGGTAGCTCTCACATTCAGTGTTCCCAGTGAGTTAGTCATTTGTCACGTCACTGCTCTTTTCAATGTGCAACGTTAGTGTGAAATCTCAAAGTTGCAGGTCCTCTGGGTCACTGTCACATGATAGACGACATGTTTTAGAGCCACATGGTGGTTAGAAAATGGTTTCTCGTAGCTTTGGCTAGAATTAACATTGCTGTTAAAGGGATAAACTAGATGTGAATATGCTACATAGTAGAAAGTAGTAATTGGGGCCCATTATATGTAAGGTAATAACTATTATGACAAAAAAAATAAATAAAATAAATAAATATATATATATATATATATATATATGGTATTATTATTATTGTTAGTAGTAGTAGTAATAGTAATGGTAGTAATGGTGGTAGTAGTAGTATATTGGTATTTCTTATAGTTTCTGTTTTGCTGGCCTCCACAATACATTCACTATTTAATTAAATGTTCATTATTAACAGCGCTCAATAATTTATAACAAATCAGATATTTGTAAAATGTTTTCTGTAGTTTTATACATTTGACTCTTATTTATCAAAACATATTTTGTTGTACTTTTGTTCAAAGTATTTATTTATATTTAACAATAATTTTTTTTTTTTTTAATACTGCATTATGCCATACTATCTTGGTGAGTTCTCATCATATCAACATCAACTATTAGGGATAATCTTTGTTTATGTTATGCGTTTCTTAAAATAAGGGGGGAAAAGAATATCGGCCGATATATCAGCATATCGGATTTTAAAATCCTCAAATATCGAAATTGGCATCGGATTTAGAAGTCCGATATCGGTCTGGCTCTAGTCTTAAAGGTCTCAGATGTGGGTTTCTGATGGTATGTTTAACTTGTGGTCCCATGTGTTTTGATTGTGCAGGTCAGCTTCTCAGCATCAGTTCTGGGTTCACGCTGAGATGGAGGAGGAGGTAGAGAACAAGGAGCTGCTGGCAGAGAGCAGGAGCAGATACATCTCCTTCCCTGGGAGTTTCACTCCTGTCAGCCATTATTGCAGAGCTCCACTGGGCAATGGAAAGCTGTGTCAGAGACAGGACCGCTACAAGGTAAAACTTGTCTCTTTGTGTTTCCCATGCTGTTGGTGTGTGTGTCTGAGCTGTGACTTTGTGCCCTTCAGTGTCCTTTCCATGGCCAGATCATTCCTCGAGACCAGGAGGGTCGACCCTGCAAACAGGAGGACCGATTGAGGGAGGAGCAGGAGGAGAGGAGGAAGAGGGAGGAGCATCCAGGTGAGGAGTGATCCACATATACACACTCACACACACACACTGACCATCCCTGAACTCTCCAAAATGTTTGTAAATGTAAACTTCAATAATTTCTTCATCTAAACCATCAATTTGTCTTTCGGACCACTCAAAGCGCTTTTACACTACATCTGCATTCACCAGTCATACACTGAGCCTAAGTGCTCAAACGGAAACTAACATTCATGCATGCATTCAGCCGCCCAAGGACACACGCAGGGGGAGCCAGGGATTGAACCGCCGACCTTCCGATTAACGGCCAACCAGCTCTACCTCCTGAGCCACAGCCGCCCATGTTTCAGCATGAATGCTTTAGAAAGGTCTTGTGTCCTCTAAAAGCAGCAAAGAAACAGTAAGAGCTGCATCTGTAAATGCGGGGTGTGTCTGTGGTGGCCAGTGTGAACAGTGAAGTGTAAGTAAGTAAAGTTTATTTGTATAGCATCTTTCACAGATAAAAATTGAAAGTGCTTCACAATAAAATGTGATAAAATACAACAAAGTAAAATACAGTGCATAAGAAAATTTAAAAACAAATGGAAAACATAGAACAAACAACCATAAAAACCCTTGTGTAACTAAAAGCTTGAATAGGAGAGTCTTCAATTGCTTTTTAAAAGAATCGACAGAATTCACACAATGTAGAAAGGTAGGCGATGCATTCCACAGCCTAGGTGCCACTGCTTGGAATGATTGAGTTCTGAACAGCCTGGAGACGGTAAAGCTCCTTCTTGCTCAAACAAGTAAAAAAGACTGTTACAGTTATCTAAACGAGAGGAAATAAAAGCATGAATGATCATCTCAGAATGCAAATGGTTGTTGTTGTTGCACTTCAGATTTGGTCAAAACTCCTATCAAGGCAGCTCATTATTATTACACCAACAAAATAATAAGTTCATTTTTGACCTTGGAAGCAGTAGCTTGGAAACAAAATCCCTGTAACTAGTAAGTGGACTTGTACTACTGTCCACTTACTAGCTTTTTCTGTTGCTCAGTGAACAACCTAAGGAAGACATGTGGTTGAATTTTCACAATAAAAAACAATAAAATAAAACAAATAAAAACAACAACACATAAAATACAAAACCATATGGCTAGTGAAATGCTTGTCTAAAAAGATGTGTCTTAAGGTGTTTTAAGTTTCCAGAGTCTTAAGTTTCCAGAGTCCAAGGCTCTCAAGGCCAAAGGGAGAGAGTTCTAGAGCCTTGGAGCCACCACACAGAAAACCCGATCACCTCTTGTTTTAAAACGAGTTCTGGGAACAGTTAAAAGGTCTTGGCCTGAGGACCTCAGAGAGCGACCAGAAGTGTGTGCGTGCAATAGATTCTGGATGTAAGAGGGAGCTTGACCATGCAAGGCTCTGTAAGTAATGGTTAAAATTTAAAATGCACTTTAAAACCAATTGGAAACCAATGAAGAGCCTTAAGCACAGGTGTAATGTGTGATCTCCTATTGGTCTGACAAAAGTCTTGCAGCTGCATTCTGTACAACTTACAGTTTGTCCATGGAGGATTTGTTTAAACAAGTGTACAGTACATTGCAATAATCCAGAAGAAGAAATAAAAGCATGAACAAACATCTCCATCTCTTCTTCAGAAAACACATAGATTTGTCAAAAATAACTGATTTCGCACAACATTAACGTCAGAGGATGATAGAGTCCCAGTGGCCTGCCTGATCTTACGAGTAATGTTTTCTGGGGCAAAAATCAGCACCTCAGTTTTGTCAATTGTGCAACACGGACAGTTTGTCTAGCCTATCAGGGCTAAAAGATAAATATAATTGGATGTCATCAGCATAACAATGATGAGATATTTCTTCAAAACTACCAATAATCTTTCCAAGAGGAAGCATATACAGACTGAACAGCAGGGGGCCGAGCACAGAACCTTGGGGCCCACCACAGGACAAAGGGGCAGAGTCTGACATATATGTTCCTATGGACTCCTGTCGGAAAGTTAGGAGGAAAACCAGTCCAGAGCTGATCCAGTAATGCCCACAGTTGTTTTCAGTCCATCAATCAGAGTGCAGTGATCAACAGTATCAAACGCTGCACTGATATCTAAGAGGACCAGCACAGAACATTTACCCCCATCAGCAGCCATCAAAATATCATTTGAGACCCTAAGGAGGGCAGTCTCAGTTGAATGGTTTTTACGAAAACCAGACTGAAACTTATCAAAGATATTATGGGAATCCAAAACATTATTTAGCTGGTTCGCAGCAACCTTTTCTAGAATCTTCGAAAGAAAAGGCAGTTTAGAAATAGGCCTATAGTTTCTAAATGAAGCTGCATCAAGATTGTTCTTTTTCAAGATAGGCTGAACAACAGCATGCTTAAAACAGCTGGTCCAGCTGAAGAGATAAGTTTAAAATTGACAACAAACATGGGCCAAGTAGATGTGGGTAAAATATCAACAGGGCTTTCGGAAGGATTCATCATGCCCACTAACTTCATGATGTCATTCAGGGTAATGGGGCAGAAGGAGTCCAGTATTGAAAGTCTGTGATGTTTAACTATATGGGGGTTTGCTGATGGAACAATGCCTGCCCTGACAGCCCTAACCTTGTCCACAAAGTGAGACAAAAAGTGGTTGCAGTCAACATTTGAAAACACAGGGACAATACATGCAGCAGGAGAAACAATGTTGTTAATAGTCTCAAACAGAGCTTTAGGATGTTTTTACAGGCAGAGGACCTAGCATCCTTGATCATTTCGTTTAAGACTATTAAGAGCTCTTTAAGATGCAGAATTTCTCTAGTTTTAAGAGGCGCCACTTTGTCCAACAGCAGGGTACAATGATCATTAAAAGCCTGTAACTGTTACTAGCTCAGTTTTCCTCAGAAATCATGTTGATGTAAATGGGTGAAGAGTGACCGTGGTTTAATGATGATGCCCAGTCACTGAGCAGAATGGAGAGAAACAACAGTAAACAGTTTGTGCAGGAAAACAACAGACCAGGTCAGTACATTCTGAGAGTGTATGTGTCTGCAGGATGTCCACCAGCTGCCTCAGTGTCTTGTTAACCACCAGCTTTGTGTGTGTGTGTTTGTGTGTGTGACCATGGCATGCAGTCCAGTGAGTTGTGAAATAGCATCTTTTGTTACCAACTACACTATCGATCCACGAGTCAATCTCACACTTAGAGACACACACACACACACACACACACACACCATCAATCTCACAGTAGGGGGGACAGTGGCATGAACGGACCATTGTCCTCAGCTCCTTCTACCTATTCAGTCACACAGTCAAACACAAACACACACATACACATATATACAGTGAGGGTAAACAGGCAATGAGGGACAGTAAGCCTAGTTCACACTACACGATTTTTAGCCCGATTTGCCACTCGGTGAGCTCCGCGACCATCAGGCTGTGATCAGGGGTAAATCAGCGGTCGATCAGGTGTTGCCAGTCGTTATGTGTGAACTACACGACGACGCATCAAAACGGCTCCCCAACACATTTCTGACACATCGCCGACGTCAGATATCTACCATGCCAAGTATATGGAGGAGTCGGCCGACTCGACGTCCACATCCAGCCATCCAGCTACTTTTTCACCGCAAAACATACTACTACCATCTGAATGTCGCAGCTGAAATCGAGACTCATCAGACCAGGCAACATTTTTCTTCTATTGTCGAATTTTGCTGAGCCTGTGTGAACTGTAGTCTCAGTTTCCTGTTCTTAGCTGACAGGAGTGGCACCCGATCTGGTCTTCTGCTGCCGTAGCCCATCTGCTTCGACGTGTTGTGTGTTCAGAGATGGTATTCTGCACACCTTAGTTGTAACGATTGGTTATTTGGGTTACTGTTGCTTTTCTGTCATCTCCAACCATTCTCCTCTGACATCAACAAGACATTTTTGTCCACACAGCTGCCGCTCACTGGATCTTTTCTCTTTCTCGGACCATTCTTTGTAAACCCTAGAGATGGTTGTGCGTGAAAATCCCAGTAGATCAGCAGTTTCTGAAATACTCAGACCAGCATGTCTGGCACCAACAACCATGACATGTTCAAAGTCATTTAAATCCCCTTTCTTCCCCATTCTGATGCTTGGTTTGAACTTCAACAAGTTGACCACGTCTACATGCCTAAATGCATTGAGTTGCTGCCATGTGATGAGCTATTTGTGTTAACATGCAATTGAACAGGTGTACCTAATAAAGTGGCTGGTGAGTGTATGTTGTCTGTTATTGTGTGTGTGTTTGTACAGTTCAGTCCTGCCGCGAATGATGTAGGTGTTCATTAACTCTCAGCCGTCTTACTGTTGGCAACGGGTTCTGTATCTTTAGTAGACTAGGCTCACCATCCAGTACTAGAAAGGTCTTCTCTGGGATCTCCAAAATCTAAAAGTCTAGGATCTTAGAACTCAAAAAACCTGAGCAGTGCCATTAATCGGCACATCAGCTTGGAAAATGGCATCAGCCTCAGTGTTGACTGGAATGGCGTTCACTTTGTTTTCTCCTCGCCCACTGCAATAACAATGCTTTGGTCTCATCAAGAAGACCTTCACTGATGTGACAAGTCAGTGGAGGTCAGGAGGTGGGCTGAAGCATTTGATTGGCTAAAGTACACTTGAATTTATTAGCTATTTGCAAAGGTTATCAAAAAAAGGTTTTTGTTCGCTTTACCTCAACATATACATGTGTAATACTTTATAAGCGATGATTTCTTTCAAGTGGAATTGTATGATGATCTGAATATTAATACAGAGGGTCGTCTGATCGCTGATTTAACTGCACTGAGCTACAGTGGCGAAAATTTGCTTTTGGTCTGACCCCCTTAAAAGTCGTTGTTGGGTGGAAGCTGGTGAGGGATCTGGTCTGTGTTGCTACACTAGCGACTCTGTCTGGTCATCTTACTCCTGCTAGAGTCAGTAGTGCAGCTGAGGGACAGCATGAAGCTCCTCAATGACAGATGAAAAGACTCAGGTGGTGACCTCTCTACACCCTCCAGCAGACACAGCTGAAAGCTAACAGCAGCAAACAGTAACTGAAGATGTGAGGGGAAGTCTTTATCCTCTGATAATTACAGAGATGACATCACCTGCAGTGCCTTGTGTTGGCTAGTAAATCAGGTGTGATTGGTTTCTGGCTTTTTTCTGATCTGCGTATGTGTGTTTTTTAAGTTGCACAGACTTTATTAAGTGATGGTGACACTTTCCCGTTCCCAGTGGCATTTCAGTGCTCAGTTAGTGCCTGGCCAGATAACTACACATTCTTTACTTTAGGGAGGCCGATGGTGAAAACATTGAAACAACACAACACACTACATGGGGTTGCATTGGTGACCATGTTACTTCAAGTAACAGTGAGCTACTGAGCTTTGGTCCAGGAAGTCCAGTTTGTGTAGTACACCCATTAGTTTGAAGGGATATCAGATGCTGAAACCCAGTTGTTGTACTGCAGTGTAGAAACATGGAGGTCATGTAGTATATTACCAGTAAGTAATGTGCTCGTTTTCATCCTGTGAAAATGATGTACACGGCTGTAGAACATCATCACTAGGGGACATGTCCTGTTGTGACAGTCCAGGCCACTGTCCTGCTGTCTATCATCAGTACCTCTGACAAATGCTGCCACGGTATCTTAACTTCTTCTCTTGTAATATAAAATAATATTCTTCGTCTGTAGTGCTAAAGCTGTCAAATGGACGAACAGTCTTTGAGGGTGAAAATCCCCCCACGGACCCCTATAATCGCAGGGTACTGGACTCCATATTTGCTCTTCTGTTGTTATTTATTTTGACTTGTATTTAACCTTAACTAGTGTTTTAAAGGCTCCGCTGTATGTGGGATGATTGTGAATCAGACCTTCACACACAGACAGTTATACCAGACATACACACACACATAGGGTCTTTGTGCTTGGTGGTGCGTGGTGAGAGAGGTGGTGTGTGTGTGGGGTCTGGCCCCTGCCCTGACACACACAAAGACCCCAGCTGGGCGGGCTGAGAGGTGTTGACAGAAATAAGAGCCCTGCTGCAGCACTCATAACCATCACAACCCACTTCTCTTCTTTCTTTTTCCTCCTTTCCTTTTTTTGATTTCCTTTGTCTTTATTTCTTTTTTTTTGGTCTCTTATTTTTATAATTTTTCTTTATTTTTTCTTCCTTTCTTTCTCAAACACAACAATAAAGTAACAGAGCAAACACACCCGAAGCAGCCAGTGTAAATGCAGCTGCTCCTCTTTTAGCAGTAATGATTCTCCTAAATACACCAGCTGCTTTTCAATTACTGCTCTTCTGCCTGTGTGTGTGTGTGTGTGTGTGTGTGTGTGCGTGTGTGTGTAATGAGGGATAGATGAAGGTCCAGTCAGACCCAGGGTCAGACCGGCTGATTAATAACCCCACACACACACACTGAGCTGAGGTCAGTGTTTTGACAGAGTGGAGAGCCTGACTTCAATCCCGTCACAATCACAGTGTAATTACTTTGCATTACTGCAGCTTTATCTCTAATTCCACCGCAGTACGTCATTAATTACAAGTGTCTGTTCGTTTAGACCTTCATTACTCTGCATTACAGCCACTTTTACTTTATCACCCAGAATTATGACGTTACACTTTTCATTAACACCAGTATTGGATCCAAATGAGCCTGTGCGACACACTGTTTACTTCTTGTGCTCTGTGAAAGTGTGCAGTGTGAGCTCATTTATGTTATCAGCTGGAATTACTCCATTACACTTTTCATTAACATGAGATTTGGTTGACGTTTCAGTCTGTAATTGTGGCAGCCAGAGGGAGTAGCTGTTTGAAAATGAAAGGGCTTAATTACATACAAATATTGCGTGTTTTAATGCCGGCTCAACGTTGTGATGTCTGTCAGCCATTGACGATGGACAATGGCATCGTCTGTTGGTCCAACCTTACTTGAGTGTTAAGTCACTGTCCAAGGTTTAGTCTCAGTATTTTTACAAAAACATGTTTTAGTTTTTGTCAATTAAAATAAAATCTTCCACTCTTATTTTCGCTGTTATCTTTGATGTGATGAGCGCTGAATAACATTAATGCAGTAATATTCCTGTTGGGAAACTCTGCATGGCTGACAGCAGATGAATCCTGCTACTAAAATCAAGTCCAAAGTAATTTTACATTACTATGTAAATGTAAATATGGGCATGCAAAACTTTGATGAACTGAAGATGAATTTTTTCCATAAATAATTTTGGTAATTTTTCCTGGATGTTACAGCTAGCCAAAAATGAGCATTAGCCATAAGATGCAAACGGTGATTGGTGTCAAACATCCAGCACAGCTCTGCTGGATCAGATGCTTCAGAATGCTTTAAAAAGCACAGCTGGCCAAATGTATGCAGTACTGTAGCACCTGCTGAAACTATGACATGCTGGGCTGGGTAAAATAACAAAGGTAGGCAGTGAGTCTTAGAAGTGTGACCAAGCTTCCCAACATTCAGTACAGCAACATTTATATTATGTTCTTGTGCCATTTACCAAGACCAATAGATGAAATGTGTTATGGGAAACATCAGCCTGGAGGGATTGTCTTCTTCACCTTTTAATGATTTGTTTTCTTTCTGTTGTAGACTGGCGTGATGCAGAGCTGATGCGAGACATCGAGGTGGCAACAGGAGAAAACCTGGGTTCTGACAGGGTTGGTAAAAAAGGGAAAGGGAAAAAGAAGAAATACCCCAACCTCAGTGATCTGAAGCAGAGCACCAACACTTCCCGCTATAGGCTGGAGAAAAAAGTCTTCAACAAGTACGTCATTTCCTGTTCGGGCAGGAACAGCCTTCTCTGAAAGCTCACACCAATGTAGTGTCTACTAACTGAGAACATGCACCACCTAAAGGGGCACTGCTGCTATTTTGTATTGCACTTCCACAAAGTTAGGTGACTTGCATATATGTATACTTATGTGTTTATACATAGTGTATGTGTGTATACAGTATCTCACAAAAGTGAGTACACTCCTCACATATTTTTAAATATTTGATTCTATGTTTTCATGTGACAACACTGAAGAAATGACACTTTGCTACATTGTAAAGTAGTGCGTGTACAGCTTGTATACCAGTGTAAATTTGCTGTCCCCTAAAAATAACACATCACACAGCCATTTTCCCTCCATGGTGTCAAGTTGAGTGCACGTGCTCAGCGTCATATCCAGAGGCTGTCTTTGGGAAATAGAAGTATGAGTGCTGCAAGTCTGCATTGGGGGGGGGGGGGGGGGGGGGTCAGCCTGTCAGTGCTCAGACCATACACCGCACACTGCATCAAACTGGTCTGCATGGCTGTGGTTCCAGAAGGAAGCCTCTTCTTAAGATGATGCACAAGAAAGCCTGCAAATAGTGTGCTCAAAACAAGCAGACTAAGGACATTGGATACTGGAACCATGTCCTGTGGTCTGATGAGACCAAGATAAACTTATTTGGTTCAGATGGTGTCAAGCGTGTGTGGCAGCAATCAGGTGAGGAGTACAAAGACAAGTGTGTCTTGCCTACAGTCAAGCATGGTGGTGGGAGTGTCCTGGTCTGGGGCTGCATGAGTGCTGCCGGCACTGGGGAGCTGCAGTTCAACATGTACTGTGACATACTGAAGCAGAGCATGATCCCATCCCTTTGGAGACTGGGCCGCAGGGCAGTATTCCAACATGATAACGACCCCAAACTCCTCCAAGACGACCACTGCCTTGCTAAAGAAGCTGAGGGTAAAGGTGATGGACTGGCCAAGCATGTCTCCAGACCTAAACCCTATTGAGCATCTGGGTGTGTCCTTAAACGGAAGGTGGAGGAGCGCAAGGTCTCTAATATCCACCAGCTCTGTGATGACATGGAGGAGTGGAAGAGGACTCCAGTGGCAACCTGTGAAGCTCTGGTGAACTCCATGCCCAAGGCAGTGTTGGGAAATAATGGTGGCCACACAAAATATTACTTTGGGCCCAATTTGGACATTTTCACTGAGGGGTGTATTCACTTTTGTTGCCAGCGGTTTAGACATTAATGGCTGTGTGATGTGTTATTTTGAGGGGACAGCAAATTTACACTTTTTTATACTATACTCACTACTTTACATTGTAGCAAAGTGTCATTTCTTCAGTGTTGTCACATGAAAAGATAGAATAAAATATTTACAAAAATGTGAGGGTTGTACTCACTTTTGTGAGATACTTATATATATTTATATACAGGTCCATCACAGAAAATTTGAAAGTCTTGAGAAAGTTTTTACCATAAATTGAGTCAAAAAGTGAAATATATTCTAGATATATTCAAATATTTCATGACTTTTTGTTTTTTTCTTGATGATTATGGATTACAGCTCATGGAACTCAAAAATCCATATGTCAAATTTTATAATAAAGAATGAATAATAACAGAAATGTTGACCTGAGAAGAGCCTTTAATCTCTCAGTCTGGTTCAGTACACATAACCACAATCATGTGGAAGACCTCTGACTTGACAGTTGTCCAGAAGACACTCATTGACCCCCTCCACAAGGAGGTTAGCCACAGAAGGTCATTGGTGAAGGGGCTGGCTCTTCACAGAGTGCTGGATCAAAGCATATTCTTCATATTCTATTTGACTGGAAGGTTAAAGTGTGGTAAGAAAAGGTGCGCAAGCAACAGGGATGACCGCAGCCTTGAGATGATTGTCAAGCAAAACCAATTCAAGAACTTGAGGGAGCTTCCCAAGGAGTGGACTGAGGCTGGAGTCATTGCATCAAGAGCCACCAGGCACAAAGTGGTCCAAAGTCCTCTTTTCTGATGAAAGGAAATTTTTCATTTTACTTGGAAATCAAGGTCCCAGAGTCTGGAGGATGAGTAGAGAGGTACAAAATCCAATTTGCTTCAAGTCCAGTGTGAAATTTCTACAGTCAGATGATTTGGGTGCCATGTCATCTGCTGGTGCTGGTCCACTGTGTTTTATCAGTCCAGAGTCAATGCAGCGTCTACCAGGAGATTTTAGAGTACTTCATGCTTCCATCTGCTGAAATGCTTTATGGAAATGCTGATTTCCTTTTTCAGCAAGACTTGGCAACTGCATATGGATTTTTGATTTACGTGAGCTATAAGCCATAATCATCAGGATTAAAACAAAATAAAGGCCTGAAATATTTCCCTTTATGTATAAGGAATCTGGAATATATGAAAGTTTCACTTTTTGAATTACATTATGGGTTCTCTCTAGGGTTTACAGAGAATGGTCACCTTTACACAGCAGCAATAAAATATTACTTGTAAATCTCAACTTAAACATTAATGTAATCAAATCAAATATAAAACCAAAGCTTTTTGCCACTGCCAGGTGCCAGGGCATTACCTTCTATAGCTTGTTAAAACATGTTAGAGTCCAGAGCCACGATCAGAACATCATAACAGGTACAGTGGATAGAAAAAGTCTACACGCCCCTGTTAAAATGGCAGGTTCTTATGATGTAAAATAATGAGACAAAGATAAATCATGTCAGAACTTTTTCCACCTTTAATGTGACCTATAATGTGAACAATTCAATAGAAAAACTAACTGAAATCTTTGAGGGGGAAAAATGAAAAATAAAAATCCTCAAATAACCTGGTTGCATAAGTGTGCACACCCTTAGATTAATACTTTGTTGAAGCGCCTTTTGATTTTATTACAGCAGTCAGTCTTTTTGGGTAGGAGTCTATTAGCATGGCACATCTTGACGTGGCAATATTTGCCCACTCTTCTTTGCAAAAGCGCTCCAAATCTGTCAGATTGCGAGGACATGGCCTGTGCACAGCCCTCTTCAGATGTTCAATCGGATTCGGGTCTGGGCTCTGGCTGGGCCGTTCCAAAACGTTAATCTTCTTCTGGTGAAGCCATGCTTTTGTGGATTTGGATGTGCGCTTTGGGTCGTTGTCGTGCTGAAAGGTGAACTTCCTCTTCATCTTCAGCTTTCTAACCAACGCCTGAAGGTTTTGTGCCAAAACTGCCTGGTATTTGGAACAATTCATAATTCCCTCCACCCTGACTAAGGCCCCGGTTCCAGCTGAAGAAAAACAGCCCCAAAGCATGATGCTGCCACCACCACGCTTCACTGTGGGTATGGTGTTCCTTGGGTGCAGTGTGTTTTTGCACCAAACATACCTTTTGGAATTATGGCCAAAAAGTTCTACCTTGGTTTCATCAGACCATAACACATTTTCCCACATGCTTTTGGGGACTTGATGTTTGTTTTTGCAAACTTCAGCCGTGCTTGCATGTTTTTCTTTGTAAGAAAAGGCTTCCGTCTTGCCACCCTGCCCCTACACCCCCAGTTATAAGAGGGTGTGCACACTTATGCAACCAAGTTATTAAGGTTTTTATTTTTCATTTTTTCATTGTGATTTATTTTGTTTTGTTTTTCAATTGAATTGTTCACATTATAGGTCACATTAAAGGTGGAAAAAGTTCTGACATGATTTATCTTTTTCTCATTATTTTACATCATAAGAACCTGCCATTTTAACAGGGGTGTGTAGACTTTTTCTATCCACTGTACCTTCTGAGCAACAGGTTAACATATATAAATCGGGGTTTTTTTCTGAACAGGTATCAGCAGAACCATTTTTCTTTTATCAGGGAGTAGCAGAAACAGTCTATGTTCAGTAGCAAGTGTCCCTGTTAGAGTCAGGTGAAGCGGTCGAGCACAAAGCATAGCGACAGGCGGGCATGTTCCTGTGAAACTGTCGCGGTTGTGCTCCCCTCACACACACACACACCCGCCCACTAGCGAAGTTGAATTGTCTGTACGCGACCCGCAGCACAAATGATTGGAAGAGAGACTGATCTACGCTGTTTGTGAGTTTTCAGAATCTATTACTGTTTACTAAATAGTTATCAGGACATCAACAGGAGGAAATTCGCATGGCAGAGCAACCCCGCAAAACTAGATGTAGGCCTATCAGGTAAAGTTTAGCCTATAATTTTAACTAAAGTTAAATAGGCTACAGCTGTGGCATTTGTTCACTTGTCTTGCTTTTATTGATCTACTTCTCCCACATGCTTGTTTGGGTGGCTGATTTGCAGGCTGATCAACATCCCACCCCTCCTGTGACCCATGGTTCCCCTTCGAGGGAACTCGAACTGCGTCGGTGACGACACTATGGGAACGCCTTTGGGCGTGGCAGGGCTGAACTATGAATGAAACTACTCCGATCCTATTGGTGTTGCTAGAACGGAAGCGTGTGACGGCGTAACCGGAGGCATATATAAGCACGCCGGCACACAGGACACATTAGCTTCTGTCTATTCAGCAGGCACTCTGGCTCCGCTATCGAGAAAGTTGTTGTCTTACCTGGAAGTCCTGACGAGGCAGTAGAGACCATGGTATCTGGTAATCTGGTAATCAGTTCCGACAATGTGTTTTTCCATGCCCACGCTACATCGCGGCTGGGGAGACTCATGAGATGTGTGTTTCCTGTCTGGGGATGTCGCACGCCCAGGCAGCTCTCGAGGGGGCTGCCTGCGGCCATGGCGAGGCCCTGTCCCTGAGGGTGTTGAGGTCTCGTGCGGCTCTCTTTCGGAGGGTTAGGGAGAGGGGAAAAAGAGCTGGCCAACGACTTACAAAGCTCTGCGTTAGCCAGTCTGGTGCACTGTCCTGTGATGCGCCTCCAGCGACCCCAGAAAGGCAAAAACACTCCCTCCTTGCTTGATGTCTTAAGCATTTCCCACATTTCCCATGGTAAAAAACAAAAGTGCATTACCTTTGCATTTGGTCAAAAAATTGGACTTCACGAATCCTTTAATTTCTGCATCCTACTTGGATGTCTTACGATGAATTTTCCTATTAATCCAGGCCTATTTGGTCCTGCTTCACTCTGCCTTGTTGCAACGTTTCGGAGAACTATTTGTCCTTCATCAGGCTTTACAGAGTGGCATCTTTAAGTTTCCTTTTTCTTTAGGTTTGACTGATCTTCTGCTTGAGGCTTTTCTAATTGAGGTTTCCAGTGAGTCACGGTGAGTACTGAGGTTAAGGTGAGGGATTTGGGCTGGGTAAGAGTGTCCCCGCCCCCGTGGGGCCATCCAGAGGTCACACACGGCACTGGCTGAGTTAGGGAGAGGGGAAAAAGAGCTGGCCAACGACTTACAAAGCTCTGCGTTAGCCAGTCTGGTGCACTGTCCTGTGATGCGCCTCCAGCGACCCCAGAAAGGCAAAAACACTCCCTCCTTGCTTGATGTCTTAAGCATTTCCCACATTTCCCATGGTAAAAAACAAAAGTGCATTACCTTTGCATTTGGTCAAAAAATTGGACTTCACGAATCCTTTAATTTCTGCATCCTACTTGGATGTCTTACGATGAATTTTCCTATTAATCCAGGCCTATTTGGTCCTGCTTCACTCTGCCTTGTTGCAACGTTTCGGAGAACTATTTGTCCTTCATCAGGCTTTACAGAGTGGCATCTTTCAGTTTCCTTTTTCTTTAGGTTTGACTGATCTTCTGCTTGAGGCTTTTCTAATTGAGGTTTCCAGTGAGTCACGGTGAGTACTGAGGTTAAGGTGAGGGATTTGGGCTGGGTAAGAGTGTCCCCGCCCCCCGTGGGGTTAGGGTTAGGGTTAGGGTTAGGTGCGCTCTCCCCATGGCTCAGGCCCTCCCCATGGCTCAGGCCCCACGGTTGCTGAGGCGTTGCAGCGGCTATGGTCACGGGGATCGCAGCGTGATATCTCCGAGGGCGTCGGGACGGCTGAGGCCTTTTTCCGGTCCTCGTCTGCTGACTCCGCCTCCTCTCTTCCCCGTTCGAGAGCCCGTTCTCGGCTTCTCCTGCCCGAGGTATGAGTTTGGAGAGGCTTGCACAGTCTGATTCTGAGGAGCTAGACGTGCTTAGCATCATGGAGGATGACTTCCGGGAGCCGGGCTGCTTACATACGCCTCCGGTTACGCCGTCACACGCTACCGTTCTAGCAACACCAATAGGATCGGAGTAGTTTCATTCATAGTTCAGCCCTGCCACGCCCAGAGGCGTTCCCATAGTGTTGTCACCGACGTAGTGTCTCGTTCCCCTTCTCGGGGAACAAGGGTTACATACGTAACCCGAGACGTTTGACTGTATTCAGAGCCAGTGAGCAATTGACTTTCAAAATAATAATAATAAAAACTGCGTTAACGATTAATGATTGTCGGCGATAATAATGCATTAAATAATTAATATAGCTAAATATTTAGTAACCATATATCCTTAAAGATGTTATTGTGTGTAGAATACAGACTGTGGCTTTACACATGCCATGTTTCCTCAGAAAATGGTGTGAAGATTTGACTTTTAGATTCCATTCTTTTCTTTAATCTTCGTCTTCCTGTCCTGCTCTCTGTTCTGTCCTTCTTTCTAGGAGCACCATACGCAGAGTAGCTCAGGTGATGAGTAAAGCTGACAGGAGAAAACATGAGAAGTTCTCCAACCAGTTCAACTATGCTCTGAATTGACCTCCAGCCAGTTCAATATGAACTGCTTCTATAAGACTTCAGATTTTAATTTATTGATATGCATAGTATGTGGATCTATTCAAGAGATTAAGATGATTGAATGGTTGTTTGAACACTGTGATACAGTTGGAATACTTTTGTTGCTCTTTGATAACCTTTTAATGAGATGCTGAACTGAACTGACTGATGAATAACAACCAGGTACCAGAACAGTTGTTCAGCTTAATATTGCCTCTGTATCAGCCAAATCCATTTTTCATTATGTATAACTGACAGATGTTTTACCAGGATTTTCTGGTTGAATTTATTGTTTATATTTGTTTTGTGTTTTGGGGCATTAAATGAACATCATCCAGGTTAATAAACTTTGTACCAGAAGTAAACTGTAAATGTCTTTCCTCAGCCTGCTGTGTTTGTGTCTTTGTCCTGTCCTCCACTTTAATTCAGCACACAGTCCTGCAGCAGCATATTGACGCGAGGAAGTTTGAATAGAAAGCTGTCGTGGAAATAATATTCGTGGTGAGGGGCTGAGCAAATAATGAGTTACAACCAACCGTTGTCTTTGAAGAATTTATTTAACAAAAGAGAATGAACAGAGAAGTACTACAACAAATATACAGCTGGTCCAGAGACTTGCCGCCAGGGAGTCATTGGGCGTCTGGCCCCGAGCAAAGAGATGCATCATCATTTACACAGTCTAGGTTTCTCTGTTTTGGGGAACAGAGATCCTCTCTATGTTGTAGACAGTGATATATTTTTGCTGTGGTCACTAACTCACAGGTGTGGTCTTATCAATTTCAGGTGGTATTTTGTACAAATGTAGACCAACTTCCATATAATTTCACCTTAAACATAAGTGGCACATTGTTACTTTCGACCCCATCAGTTGGGTCAAGGGTGTAGGGAGGGTCAAAAGTAACAGGAGGGTTGAAAGTAACACAACTAGATTTTTTGTGTCTCCCTTGTTATTAAATATACGTGACCTTGTAAATATGTAACTGCAAATGTATTTTGTCCTTTATCTTTGCAGAAAATGTATAAATTACATTTTCCTTTTATTTATTATCTATTTACAGTTTCTTCAAATGTTTCAAAAGTAACCCAACCGTATACTTGTTCAAAATGTGAAGTGCTGAAGGTGCTGCCACAGCTTGGACTGCAAATGCAGTCAGGGTTCTATCCCTACAGGTCAGGGATGGCACGGACTTGGTGTGATAGCATGTCAGCGCTAGACCTGTATGCAGTGTGGCAGTCTGTTTGGTCGTCCACTGTGCATTCAGTGGTTCAGTCCTGTGTGTGAGCACACAACAGGACAATGCCCCACCGACAGCCATGTGAACCTTTGAATGAGTCTCACCTCTGTGAAAACATTTAAATTTGACGTCTGTCGCTACTACGATGTTTTGAGGAGTGGGTGTGGCAGTGCTTGCATGGGCAAGGAGTGGATATTTAGTTTCTAACAGGGCCGTGTAGATTTTGTTGCCGCGTGTGAGCATGCAGTCCCAGGCCCCGGCTGGGGTCTGGCGGGCCTAGAATGTTATGTACCTATGCCTATATGTATGGTCAATTCAGAATACCGAGAATATAGTGACTTGTTGTTACCCGAAACACAGGTAAGTTACTCCTCTGGCGTGCTGTCCTAATCACATCTGGTCTGCTGAGCTCGAGCCGGTTGAGTTGGGATGGAGGGCTCTAAGTGTTGTCGTAGGGCTCCGGGATAGGTTTACAATGGCTGGCGTAGATCCAGGTATCCTGTCCCATGACTTTCACTGCGGTTTCGGTGGTTAAAAGCATTTGGAAAGGACCCTGAAAACCAATTAAAGGAAAACCTGTGGCCCTTGACGAGTACCCAAGTCCTTGGGTCCAGGGGAGGGAGTGTAGCCATGGCTACAAGGGCAGCTGTGAAGGCAATGTCGCTTGCGCATATGGGAAAAACAATTTCTTGCTTCACCAAAACATTTTGTCATACTGTTACCATTTTACTGCACCAGCACTCTGTAAGTTGTTGATGCGATCACTCAGGAAGGAAAACAGAGAATTTCAGTTATTAGGCTTGTTAGGGCTTTGGCCAACACTCTGGCCTCCTGTTTATGGAAAACTTTAACCAATTTAATTAACATGCCAACAATAACAAGACAGCATTTCATTTATTCACATGGTATTAGTGCAATCCACCATAACATCACATCTGGACCTGTAGGAAAGACACAGATTACCACAGCAGGAGATTTTGAGTTGGTCCGTAGTTGTTTTGCTCCACAATCTCTCGGAGATAGCTCTGGCTAGACAGTAGCATGTTCTAAACCGGTCTCACCCTCTCTGAATGAGTCTTAAACCTTGGAGCTCACAGTGTCCAATAACACAGACAGTTTACCTTCCATGTCTGACACTGAACAGCTGCTAAGTCTAGCAGCTCTCAACCCTTGTTAATCATCCATAGGCAATATCAAACAATTAAAGGAAAACAGTTAAAAGAACAGTTAAAAGCATTAATGCTGTTATTCACGAAAGTTGTTGAAATCTGTTAGTTCAGTAATTCCTTATTCAGCCTGCCCCCTTTTACCCACGTGGTCCCTTGGGATACACATGAGCAACCTTCTGGACCATGTTTTGAAAGGGTTAAACAATAATATTCAGCAACCTGGAATGAGCTGGCAGCCTCTGTTCTGGCTTCTCCTGTGGGAATCTGTTAGTGTGCATTTTATCATTAAAGGGCAGCAAATGGGTGCAGACACACAAACATCCAGTTCAGAATAAAATAAGCAACAAAAACAATAAGCAACAGGACAACAAAGCACCAGGCTTCTGGTTTCCCCCCCAGATTTAGTGTCAGAACAGGTCAGGTAACTGTCCTCTGGTCAACCACCCAAGTAAGAACACAGGTCAAAGGTCAGGTCTTGGTAGTCCCAGAGTACGGCAGACTGTGGAGAGCCTTTTCAGTCAGTGATGCTCTGTCATCTCATTGTCGTCAGTTTCAAGTCAGTCAAGTGCACTGTTTTTCACCATGAATCATGGGAGAGATATTCATCTCTCTTTTAACCTTTGTCAATAATTAGGAACCTTTGTCTACAAAATCGTCATTACCTCTTTATGGTGATGGTTATGGTGGAATAGATGGAAAAGGCTTGTACGCTGTGGGAGGGAGAGATGTACTCTCACTGTGATCACATGTCCCAGGTTTATCCTGTCTGTTCCGAATGCAATTGAGACAGACTAGCCTTGTGTGTGGCCACTGAGAGCTAACCGCTTTAGCCAACAATGTTCATCTCAGCATGCTTGTTGTGATGTACTGCAGAACGAAATCAACCAACCGTGTGGTTAATGTAAAATTTTAACCAGGCCTTTGCCAAATCACCAACAGAGAAATGTGTGGCATTTGATGTAATCAATAACAGGTTTGTGTGAAAATTTGAGACCTAGTACTCGCGGATGCACTGCTCCATTTACTGCTAGTTGGTCTGTAACACTCTGTGCTCTGTTGGTTGGACTTCACCACAGATTTTCCTTTAATAAAAAGCTGTGGCAGTGGGCAGGCGAGCAGGGCATGGTGACTCCAGCCTATAACAGAGAATTCAAAACATAACCAGGCCTTTGAATCACTAACAAACAAAGAAACATGTTTAATACATTCAAGCGCTTCTTGTTTAGTAGATATCATTTTAGAATCTTTGACTTGTCCAAATCAAATTATACTTTGTGAAACCTATAGCTGTAAACTGTCATTCAATTAGCACCTCAGACATGAGGTCATGTTGAATGTCTACCCATGGTGTATGGAAAAGATCTTATTGGAACTAGTTCACCGGTACTCAGAATCACAGCAATGTGTGTAAAAACAGGCTTGTTTATATCACCACCCTTGCTGTCCTGGTTCTCGGGCCCCACCACTGGCCACTCATCAGTCAGTCAACTCCGGGTAAGAACCCATCTCCTCCCTTCCTTCCAGCTCCATATCACTTGATTTGCCCATGTCACTACCCTTTGAAGCAGCTCAAACTGGGGGAAAAAAGAGAAACAACATAACAGCGGCAGCTCCCTGTGTCTAGATAATATGTAGCAATAAATAGAAAAAAAAATATATTTTCTTTGTCTATCTCTCTTTAACTGTCCCTAAATTATTTGTTCATAATTTATCTATAATCTCATGTGTCCACCTGAACTGTGTAGACTACTGTGCAGTGGAATGTATTCAGAAGTCTGTGTGTGTGTGTGTTTCTGCCAACCCCTTGCATGCAGCAGCAGGGCTGTCTGTGTGCATGTGTATGTGTTTGCCTTAGAGGTCACCCTCTCTTCCCATTCCCAGTGCTCCGATTACCAAAAGTGTTTTGTCATGTTTCATCAAAATCGGAATATCACACACCACATAGTACCATATATACAACATCTGCCCCTCTGCTTGGGCAGTTTTAAACAGACAATGTAACAATGATGTCACCTGCTAGGTTTGAACTAATTAACAGTTACTCTGATAATTTCCCAACGCCTCTGTGCTCAGTATTCATTACAAACAGGCTGTTCAACTTTAGTATTACTTACTAAGATCTTAATATGGAATTCATTTTAGTTTCAATGTGTTTGAGATGTTTACTTCATCTGTGAGAGGTTGTAACTCACCCAGTGCGTGTTTGCTGGATCCTGTCGTTAGTCCGTCCAGCCCCCTCCAGCTCAGTTCATTTGTTTTCTCTTTTTTTCTTCTTGTCAGTCTGTTTTGGAAATTGTGCAAAATCTCTTTTCCAATGTCCACTTTTGCCCTTATCTTTGCCCTCTCCCCTGTACTGTACATATCCTCGTATCAGGATGGTTTGATACAGCAGCAATCATTTTCTTTTGACAGTTGTCTTCGTGTTGATCTTCTGTATGTTAAGCATGCTCCTTCATGCTGTCTGTCTTCCATGATGTGACATGCTGTGAAATACAACTCTTCCTCACTCCAGCAGTAGTTTCTGGACTAATCAAACTCAGAACTTTCAGGGTCTCATTGCATCTCGTTTCAGACCGCTGTAGTCCTAAGGTGATGGTCATGCGGACTAGGAGAGTCATACATGATTCGGTCTGGTCTTGCTGTTCAGCTGCTGGTCTGTATCATGCGGGCAGAACTTAGTCCAGTGGTAATTCTGGACTGTGCATTGTCCTTTGCTGTACTCAGCATACTTCAGACTGCTTTCCTTCTTGTCTGGCTGGAGTGACGTATGATGATAATGATGGTGATTAAGAAAGGAACATTTTATCTTATCTTTATGCTGATCTTGTGGAAGTCCAGCTTGATCTGATTTTCTCATCGCTGCGTTTATCCCAGTTCTTGTGGGCCATACTCTTTGACAACCTTATCCAAACTGCTGTGGAGCTGTCAAAGGTTTCAGTCAGGCTGGTCAAGTGAGCAGTGGCTTCAACAATGTCCTAAATGTCAGTATTCCTCTTTTTCCTGGCATTTCTTTCTCTGGGCATCTGGAGGGAAAGCCAATGTTTCTTTAGCTGACTTTTACTGGAGCTGGAGCACATTTCCTTCTGTGCACCAGCAGTGGGTCTTTTAATTTTTTGTTACTCATCTCTCTGTTGCTGCCCGGTCAGATTTCAGCAGCACCAGGGCATACTCTCCTTACTGGACTGGATCGCAGACTGGAGCATGCTGGAGGAGGAGGAGCAGCGCCCAGGACTGGATCAGCCGGAATGGATTCTGTGACTCGACTGCCTCGGTTAAAGAAGAAATAATCAGTTGATTTGTTCTTGTGATTTCTTTCATCAGTCATCAATAGGCAAATCAGTTTAATCAGATCCTTAATGAATCTATTCTAATTTTAAGTTCTAAGCAAATAATAGAGTTACAACAAACCGTTGTCTTTGAAGAATTTATTTAACAAAAGAGAATAAACAGAGAAGTACTCCAACACATATACAGCTGGTCCAGAGACCTGCCGCCTAGGGCGTCATTGGGTGTCTGACCCAGAGCAAAGGGATGCGTCATCATTTACACAGTCTACGGCCTTAAATGAACATTCCAGGAGAGTAGAGGAACAACAAGAGAGGAAAACACCAAAACAATCTCACAGCTCTGACCTAAACCCTAGTAAGTGTGGACAGATTAACATAAGGAGTATAGGAGAGGAAAGGTTAAGGATAAAAAACACAATACATATATCTATAAACCATAACGAGAATAGTAATAATAATAATAATAATAATATTAAAAGATCATACATAAAAGATTAAATGTAAGAGGACACAATTTCCTGCCATAACAAAAGCTAGTTTAGAAATGATTGTGTTCAATTTTATTTATATAGCGCCAACTCACAACAACAGTGCGCACACATTGTGCTCTTTTCATATAGAGCAGTTCTAGACTGTACTCTTTGTGATATTCTTTACAGAGACCCAACAATTTCCACCAGGAGCAAGCACTTGGCGACAGAGGCAAGAAAAAATGGTAAATGGAATATACTTAGTCTAGTCTTCCGACCACTCAAAGCACTTTACACTACATGTCACATTCACACACATTCAAACAAAGTAAAACAGTGATGGTAGAGGCTGCCATCCAAGGTGCCAGCTGCTCATCAGAAAGAAACTACGCATTGCTATTCATTCAGATCAACAGAATGGATTTTAAAGGGTGATTTCTGTATTTTTTAATCTGGACCCTATGTTCCCATGTTTTGGGAACATTTTTGAAAATAGGTCCAGTACTGAGCAAGCATGCTGTACTCACAAAAACTACTTTGCAGAACATGGGAGTTGCTGGCCTACCGCTGCCTCAGTCAGTTAGATTGTTTGTGTTTTTGTGTAACTTTATTATTTTAACACCAAAGTCACATAACAACCGACAGATTGAGGCAGTGATAGGCCAGAGAGGCAGAATTACTATTTTTGTAAATGGAGTCTGGTGGTTTTGACATGAGCGATGTAGTGACTGTTTGTGGTTAAACAGAAAGGATCTTACTCTTTAAAAGAAGCTCTCTCTGTAGGGATCCTTTCCATGATGTTGTCAGACCTGATAACTGAGCCTGTCAGTCTGTTTAGTGGACGTACAATTGCCCACAAGGATTGCATTGCAGTCCTGTTTCACTGCTACCTACTGCAGCATGCTCGATCAGTACTGGACCAGTTTTAAAAAATGTTGTCACCATCAGTCACATAGACACATAAACATGGGAAATCAGGGTCCAGGTTTAAAAATACCTAAGTTACCCTTTAAGGCTTTGAATATAATTGATGTTCTATTAGCTTTCACTGTGTACTTACTGTAACATAATTGAGCTTAAGACCAAATATCCTGTCTCTAGTTCGGATCAAGCTCCAGAAAAACTTGATCCTAATGCAACCAATAACCTCTTTTCATCAGACCCTCCCTGCTTAGTTAACACCCACCTCTTTCAAACTCTACGCAGTCGGTTCATGACGCAAGTTTAATTTGAAGCCTCAAACCTAACTCAAGATAGCCCTGATGACACTGGAAATCTTCTTCCCACATCAAACCCATTCCCCTGATTTTTAACAGGCCTTCTCCTGTAAATGTGTAGTTTCCAAGCCCAACCTAGGATGACCTTGATGACATCATTATGACATCATCTGGGTATTTTTTCTCTGACTTGACAAAGCTCCCCCACAGCCACAAGGAAACAGCAAACAAGCATGCAGAGTATGTCGTATGTTCATCAAGCAGCAGCCTTCCGGTCTCAGGGCTGAAGCCAAACCAGAAATGCCTAAAACTGCAATTCATCGAGTGGCCACTTGAGGCTGGCTCTAAAAGGGAGTCAATCTCTACTGACCCCCATGTTAAAATGCCCAACTTCACAACAGGAAAAACATTTTTACAGCCTGGTACAAAAATATAAATAATTTTTCCCTTCATGACAGCTGTGAGGGGGGGGATTTTTTTTATTACTCACTCGTTTAAATTATATTAAGCCTTAAAGTTCTGCATTATTAGGGGAGTGGCCACGTTGAGTGACAGGTGGCTGCTGCCGCCGTCACTGCTAGCCGACTGCCATCTGTTAGCTCAGCTAATACAGTCAGTCACGGAGCTCTGCCTGTTTGAGCCTTTTGGACATGTCTTCATGCAGATACCAGACAAATAATGGCATGCTGTGCAATTTCTGGGCTAGAAAGAGAACCTCCACAAAACCTGTGTTCCAGTTGGTGAGTTAAATTCTAGTATTTTATTCATGTGTTACAATAATTAGCAGGTATGGGTACATAAAGTTAGCTTGTTAGCTTAGCTACTTAACCAACTAATTAGCCAACTTCAAGCTTTGGTAACAATGCTAAAATAACAGGAGTGTGCCAGCTGCAGTTTTTAAAGACGTGTGCACAGAAGTCAAAATGTAATAGAGAAGTGTTTGAATTTAGGGTGATAACACTTTGGAACAAAAGGCGTTAGAAGGTTGGTAAAGTAACGTTAAAGGTCAACCTCGTCAGTTAGCTGACTTTGAGCAACGGTAAAGACGGGTAATTTAGCTGGATATAATATGTTGATGTGTTCAAGGTGGGACTCTTACCAAACAAGTAAACTTTGGTACAGATATGAGCATGTACAGTGAAGTTACAACAACTTCCTTGAAGCATCGATCTTTGACGCCATGCCATGGACAGACTGTTTTTCCGAAAACTCAGAGCATCATCAATGTGTTATGGCTCTTCTGAGACTGTTTTGAAGTGGTTGTGGCCAACCTGCAAGGAGAATTCCATCATAGAGTAAAACTTGACACTTTGTGTTGCCAGTAGGTGGCGCTATGACTTTGTGTGAATATTGGCATATGGATGTGTTCAGGGCAGGACTGTTATCATACATGTCAAATTTGGTGAAGATTTGAGCATGCACACTGAAGTTATAACAACTGTGTAAGGGCTATCATCGATTTTCAACGCCATGCCACAGACACGCCAAATCATCAAAAACTCACAGGCATCATCAATGCCTTGAGATTGCACAGCAAAGTCAATCCGATTAATTCCCTAGGAGAAGTTCATTAAACTATGAGTCGCCAAAAATGGCCATTAAATTCAAAATGGCCAACTTCGTGTTGGGTGTAGGCAAAGTGCTTATAGGCAAGTCATGCCACTTGGCAGCCATCTTGGCAATGGGGACCATATGACAAATTTACCATATGTAAATTTCCACCATATTGGTTAATTTTTGAGCATGTTTAGGCTACCAAAAATGCTATTCATTTGGTGGAATAATAATTATTCCTTGCATTTCAATAGGGTCCTCGCATGTTTCATGAATGATCCTTTCTTTTTGTTATTATTAAATTTATTCATTGTGGTTGTTTCCTCTGCTTTATAATTTAAATCCCTACTGTGATCTGGCACTCTAACCCTAAAGGGAGTGTCTGCGAAGGTTCTCATTCATCCAGGTCATAGTTAACTATGTCTCTTCGTTCTGTCCAGTTAAATATGGTGTGCCTCAGGGGTCGGTCTTAGGACCCATTTTGTTTTCCTTGTATCTGCTTCCCCTTGGACATATTATCCATAAACATGGTATTTCTTTTCATATTTATGCTGATGACACACAAATGTACTTGCCCGTCAGATCCACAGACCCTGGAATGCTGAGTTCACTTACTGCCTTTGTGAAGTTAAAAAACGGATGTCAAATAATTTCCTCCAGCTGAACTCAGACAAAACAGAAATCCTGGTCATCGGGTCCCAGTAGATGGCAAAACAAATACTGTCATCTGCTGGTTCCCTTGTAAATCACATTAAGCCTGTTGCAAAGAACCTTGTATCTGGTTTGATAGTAATTAAAATTTTGAGCAGCACACCACAAAGCTTGTTCAATCATGTTTTTATCAACTTAGAAATATAGCAAAAATTCGATCTATGTTAACTTTTAAGGACACCGAGACCATTTTACACGCCTTCATCTCATCACGCCTGGATTATTGCAACAGCCTTTTCACCTGTTTAACCCAAAAATCTATTGATCGACTCCAGACTGTCCAGAACTCAGCTGCCAGGCTTTTAACCAGAACAAAGAAATATGACCACATTACTCCTCTTTTAGCTTCATTACACTGGCTCCCAGTATGTTTTAGAATTGACTTTAAAATTTTATTGATCACTTTTAAAGCTCTTCATGGCCTCTCGCCTTGTTATATTTCTGACCTTTTAGTCCCATACGCACCAGCAAGTACCTTGAGATCCTCGGGCAGATGTCTGCTATCTGTTCCAGAGTCTCGACTGAAAACTCAAGGGGACAGAGCGTTTGCTGTCAGGGCCCCGAGGCTCTGGAACAGCTATGAAGACTATGGAGGTCAAAAACCATCTGCCCCTTCAGACAATCTATGAGCAGTGGTTTATCAGACAGGCACAAAAAATTGTTTCCGATCTGACCCACATACTTAACCCAGAATTTCAGGGTTCCTATATGCAGGCTAAACCGATATAAACACTCATTTGTGCCTATGTCCGTTAAGCTTATCAACACTAACATGTGGGCTAGCTTGGTCGTGGACTATGTCATTGTGCAATATGTTATTTGAGCAACACATAAGCTATTGGATTGTTCACTATGTCATTTGTGCAATACATAGGCTATTAGGGTGTGCAATATCTCAATGTGTAAGGGTTGTGCTACATTTGCGACGAATGCAGCCGACAGGGTTGTTCAATCAAAAACTGCCATTGGAAGATGGAGTTAATGTGCTTACTATATAGGTACCTGTCTAATGTAAATGAG